TATTCCCCACATGATTCATAACTTCATGCTTAGCATGGTCTTGACTCCTAACCTACCATTGCGTTATCAATTTTTAGAATGCAGAAATTAGCTCAGGAACAAAATGAAAACATTGAAAAAGTAAACCGTGAAAGGAAATATCGTCAGGTGATTTGACTTTCTTTTCCATGTTTATCTGTTCTTTTTTAAAACTCTACTAACCATTTAACTCAACTACCGTTTTTTTTTTTTTTTTTGGTAATCATCATCATCAAAACACTTCATGTGAGCTTATTGCCTTGTCCACACAATGGAAGGAACTTTGTCAGAAAAATATAGACATCCAAGCTGCATGTGCTTCAGTTGAAAACCACATAAAAGAACTGAGAAGAGAAGCAGCAGAAAGGTGGCTCTGCTATGTGAAGTTTTCTTACCTTTATCTCATTTCAATTTCAACTAGTACTGGAGTTAATTTGTTCTTATTTTAGGGGTTGGAACCTGGATGCTGTCACTGAAAATGGCCATATATTTCAGAATCGTAGAGTTTTCTTAGAGTGCTCATTCGCTCACAGTTCATGCTTCATATTAGTCTCTTTTATTAACTTTACTCTTCAAAGACTTAGGGAGCATGTCAGGGATTGTATCTTTGCTATATGCCTGTTTTCTTTATTCTGTTTTTATGCCATTGCATTCTCTCTCTCTCTCTCTCTGTGCGTTGGTTTTGGTGGTGGGAATTTTCTTTTCATTTTCTTTTGTTGTTGTTGTTGAGTGTGTGCGTGCTTCTTAGAGGGGGGATGCACATTCACAATTCAGACTGGCAGTTTTTCTGGGTTCTGGAAATCTGCTTAGAATGTTCTTTGCTCAATTGCTGCATTTTTTTTTCTCAGATTAAATTCAATAACTGACTGCAAACGACGAGAGTTGTTGTTAATATCCAATTATGCCGCAGGATCTCATCATGTTGTTGGTGCTCGCTGCTGCTTCAAACTGAAGGATGATCATGATCTTAATCTTCCATTCTCGTCATACCTACTCTAATACGGTGGGGGATTTTGGGGGCTTGGAGGGAGGCAATGTATTTGAAAGAAAAACAAGATCCTTTTCAGTCTTTGGATAGAAAATTTCTCATCCGGCGTTGCTTATGGGAAGTAAAGTTCTGGGGACTGTTTCTCCATGGAGTGGACATAACATCTCAATCTAAATTTTTATAATTAATTAAAATTAATAAAAAATATATTTAAAAGTAATTAAATGAATTAAAAAATATTTATCGATTTTGACTTAGGATATAATTTAAGATTTTTAAAATATATATATATACACACACACAAGGGGGAAAAAAAAAGGAGCGATAGCCCACACCTTTCATTTTTCACTTTCCCTTTGTCTATTCTTTTACCTGTGCGATGCAAACCAGAGTGCGAGAGCGAGAGGAGAATAGCGATCGTGCGAGAGCTCTTTTTGGAGGTGAGGTTCTACAATGGGATGCTTTAGGAGTTATTTGAAGTTTTTCAAGTGTTATAAAAATATATTTAGTCATCTATTTTTTTTAGTTTTTAATTTTATGAAGGTAAAAAATTTAAAATTTGAAAGAGGAATGAATTTATGATGAATAAATGTAGTTGTTGGGATTGTTAGTGGTATAATAAATATTTGAGTATTAATTTGTTTATGAGATTTGAATTTAAAGCTTATGAGTTAAACCCAGTTTCTTACGGGTGAATTTTTATTAAATCTAAAAATACAAATTAATTTATTAATATTTAGATGATTAATTAAAATGAGAAATAAATTATTATGATTATAGAATGATGAATTTAGGTTTGAAATTGAGTTTATGATTTTTAGGTGTAAATTTTTGAAATAAAAAAAAATTATGATAATAGAAAATAGTTTAAAAGGTTGATTTTAGCTTATTAATATTTATTAACAATTAAAAAAGGACTTAAAAATTTTATTTGTAGATACTAACTCTAGACTTGTATTAATAATGAGATTATAAATTTTATTATACTCTTTATTAGAATATAATTAGAATTATTTTATTAGTTTCAATCATTGAAACTAATATTTATAAATAATATAAAACTAAAATATAAATTTATTTTTGAAGTTTTTATGCAGGTGCATTTGATATCTCAAATTTTTTTGGCATAACTTGACCTCAATGTTTTTCAAAATAATACAATGTCACTTTGGTCTAACAATTTGACCGTGTTGTCTATTAGTCAATGAAATTTAACTATTATATGTATTGACAGCCATGTGATATATTTTAAAAATAAAAAAATTGAGAAAAATCCACACACTTCTTTGTGCTTCTTCAATAATCTTCTTTGACCAAAATCAATTTTTTTTCCAAAAAATCTCAAAACCTAATAAAATTGTAAAACTAGTTTGAAATCTTCTCTACCAACCATGATCCAGCTACAAAATTGTGAACCCAGCCACAAATTCTTCATTCCATCCCCTTTCTCTAAATTAGAATGAGCCTGTGAAATTGCAAATAATGGAGAAACACATATTGGTAACTTAAGGGAAAGGGTTGCTTAATGTGCATTATAAATTCCTTACCACAATAAAGACATAGATCTAGACAAGTAAATTCAAAAACTCCATAAAAAGCACATTAAAAGATAAAAGCAATTGAACTATGGTGAGAGAGTGAGAGAGGAGAGACAATAAAATTAATAAATTCCAAAACAAAAAAGCAAAAACAAAAAATGTGGGTTTGGAATGATGAACAAAATCATGGCAATCATGCACACAATGATGCAACATGACATTGTGCTTGAGCAAATCATTGAACAAATCACATACCCATACCTAGATTAACAGACCATTGTACTTAAGAAAATTGCAAATCACATACCTAGATCATAGACGCAGACCCAGATTGACAAACCATTATGCTCAAGCTAAAGGGGTGAACCTTCAAACCAAATCACATATCAACAAACATATCATACTCGAGCTAAAAGGGAGAACCCCCAACCTAGATTACAAATTAATGAACCCATTACGCTCGAGCTAAATCAAGCCTTCAATAGCTTCTTTACCATCATAAAATATCCCCACCTTAAACCATTGCTCTTCCTTCAACCAAGCAATTGAAAAATTGAAGTAGGGATGAAGCTCGTCGATGGCCTTAGGAGCAACTAATCTGAAGTGAAGATGGTGATAAAGCTCAAGAGGGAGAGAGAAGGGAGAGATAATAGAAGGTGGATAGAGAAGAGGACAAAGCTTTTGATAAGGTGGACAGGGTAGAAGAGAGAGAAGATGATTCAGTGGAATTAAATTATAGACCTATTTGACATGTGGCATGCCACCTCAACACTGGATAGTCAAACTAATGGTCAATGTCTAGTTTTATTGATAGAGGGTGACATTGTATCATTTTGAAAAACATTAAGGGTGAAATTGAGCCAACAAAAACTTGAGGATACCATATGTGAATGTGTGGAAAATTTAAGGGCAAATTTGTTCTTTAGTACAATAATATATTATGTGTGAATTGTATTGTTGGTGAAGGTTATAGTGGAAGAAAAACTGTAAGGAATAATTTAGTGAAAAAGCCAAAAGATAATAATGTTTTAATTTTTTATTAGTATTGCTTCATGTTAATTGTGCGACTATTGAAAAAATTGTGAATTTATTGATAAATTATTTTATTATGTCTATAAAAAAATTTAAATATGTATAATTATACAATGTTGGTATGCAATTGTTTTGTTCTTGTGAAAAGTGTTGGAAGACTTGTTGTATTTTTGTGCCATGTGGTACGCTCCTATTGGAGACTTAATAGGTGGCTTATAAAAGCTTGAGCTAATCTACCTCTGGCTAGGTAATTTGGCATTAAGTGAGGGTTACGGCTCAAGGTTAATGGAGGGAGATAACGATAGTTGTTTGTCATATATTACAATATCTCTTGTATTTTTGTCAGAATTATATGATTGTTGTTTTCCTACCTAGCAAATACACATATAATTATTTGCATATATTGTCATAATTTGGCTTTATTTATTGGGATTTTTGAATCTTATTATATGGTTAACAATTTTTAGGGGAGGAGCCATGTGTGATATGTAGAGGAGCCCTTGAGACTTATGATGTAGATTCACTATTTCTTTTAGGTAATTTGATTTATGATTTTAATGATGTTATATTGCCAATGCTAGAGTTTTTTATTTATTGACCATTATATAAATGTAATGATGTAATCATACTCTTCAAACTATTTCTACTTTTGATAAACTTCAGATGATTGTAATTTTGATGTTTGATTTATTTTGAATGGTTTGAAAAGGGATAATCAAGGGGCCATATAACTGGCTTGTTTTGAAAAATGATCAAGTTGTCTATCCTAGTTGTTGGTTTATAATTTGCACTTGTTAGGAGTATAAAGTTAAAAAAATATAATTTTGGCTTAATGGCACATAGAATGTTAAAATTTATTTAAAATTTTGTGTTGTGCAAACATAAGCTAATTATTGAATGCTTTTATATTGAATTTATTGATGTGAGATGTTTTAGGTGGTTATAACTGAACTATGATTGTAAATGTGTATTAGTATATCAAAAATTATTTTGCATTATTTGGCAAGATTGATAGGTGATTATAAAATTTTAAAATGCATAATTATTTTTATTTTTCTTATTCTATTGTGTTTATTATATTCTTAATTTTAAAGAAATCTTTTGAACCTTGCACACTTTTTTTGTTTTTAAATGCTTGGGATCTTAAACTTTAAAAATGACAATTTAAAGAGTTTAAATTATACTTTTCATAATAATACTTATTTATTTAGTTTAATTATTTCTATCATGATAGTTGTTTTAAAGGTATACTATTTTATAAAATTATATTTTATTAATTTTTATTATAGTAATGTTTCAAGTTACAAAATTATTTACAAAAAAAAATTAGTTAACTTCTGCTTATCATGGTAGAAATTTTTTTTATCACAGTTAAGTTAATTGTTTAAGAAAAAATTTAAGGTATGACAGTGGGAATAACACAATTTCAACAACTTTCTAACTAGCGAACAGTTGCTTTACATGCTAGTATGAACCATTTACCATTGCCATCTTTATACAACTTGTTTCTCATACATCAAGACGATCAAGGAAACAGATTTTGCAAAAAAGCTATTCGTCCCGTGGAAGCTAGCTCTCATTAGCCCATGCCCAGCATGTATTTTGAGTACACAAAGGCACGCTACGATCTAATTACAGACAAATTTGCAGTAAAATGTATCTTATATATGAGAGAGAGAACTTTATCTTTTTATATATATAAAAAAAAAGGAAAAATAACTAATGAATTAACAATTATAGTTGTAAATAATGATATTTGCAGAAATGGTGTCCCCATAGGCCTGGCGTAATCAAGTACTAAAGCGCGAGGAGCAAATTAGGAATTACTTAACAAGTTTGACGTCTGGATTCCTCAAGGGTTTGAGCCACATGTCAGCCACGATTCGCGAGGAAATACTCCACAACAAGTCTTGTCCTTTGGATGATTGTTGCTTCCCCTTCTTCCCTCCCTTCCCCAGTCCAAATGCAACCAACCATTGCATCGCTGTTAGCCTCTGCTTCTCGCTGTCCCATCCGCTTTTCTTCTTGCCACTTCTCAGCTTGAAGCCTCCCACATGCATGCTTGTCACCTTGAATCTCTTCTCTTCACCGTCACCATAATCATTACCTTCTGGGTCTGCAATTGTTGCGTTGATAACTACCATCACAGGCCCTCCAACTGCTTCATACCGTCTTATTGGATCCCGAAGTTGGACCACCATTATCATTGCGATGTTTGCTGCTTCACTCTGATCCCCCATCCATTCTTCAAGTGAAACTGCAGAAGCAAAAAGATCTTTCGCACTATTGCCTCCTGTTTTTGTGCTGAGAGGTGACACATCGAAAGGAGCTTCTTGCTCAGCCATGTCAGCTTGAATTTTCAATGCCTCAACCGCCATGGACTCGATTTTCTGCAGCGAGAATGCCGGAATTTTCTCTGCTGTTAGCGGGTTTTCATCAACATTCCACAGTCCTGTTGAAATTCTCTCCTTCCTTCCTTCGCTCATCGCATTTGCCATGCTTTTCAGTGCAGAAACTATACGAGCAGCGCTTGAACTCGCTCCTTCCTTGTTTCTTCCTTGTATGATGGCAGAGGCAATGCCTTCAAAAGCTGTCTGCTCTGCGGTTTTGCCCATCAGTTCATCTATGGGCATTAAGGTGAAAACTTGAGAGCTAAGTTCATCAAGCTCCGTGCTAGCCAGTTTCTGAAATAATTCAAATCCACTTGAGGATTGATTCCATGGCAACACAAAAGGCTTCGATATCTGCATTGCTAACTTTGGAGTGTCTTTTCTGGCAACAACATTATCTAATGGGTTCATAGAAGCCAAGCAACCCCCATCCCTTGTTTGAACTACACAACCCAACCCCTTGCCAAGATCTGGAAGATACACTTTGGACTCTTCATCTGCAGCATTCTTTTGTCCTTCAAGTTTTAAAGGAGGAACTCGAGGCTGATTGGTTTTGTAGTGGTGTCCACCGATCTCTTCATCCTCGAGCATTTGAAGAAACTCCCTCGTCACGGTTTCTTCATCTGCATCTAATCTCTGTGATTCTGTTTCATCCTCGGTTTTTAAAGCTTTATTATCCTCTCCCATCATAGACTCGAGAGCTTTTATCTGCTGTGCAATTGAATCAAGCTCGCTTAATCTTGTTAGGTTTAGGTGTAACTGATCATGCACTATTTCCTTGACCACCTCGCTAGAAGCCGACTTTACGTCCATTGATTTTTCAGTTTCCTTTTCTCCATCTTCTTCCTTCTCTTGAACTTCAACTCCTTTGTCTACAACCTCAAAATCGGGAAGATCAAAATCCTCCACATTTGCCTTCTGATCATGGGATTTTTGGGCAGAGGTAGAGGAATGCTGAACAGGGTTGGGATCATCAAGATTCAGATCGTCCATTCCCTGAATATCTACTTCTTCTCCTGCCTGTGACTGTGAGGCACACCAAGTGTCGCTCTTGGTCGTTATTCTTGGACTAGGCATGCTGAACGATGTCTTGGATTGTTTACGAGCAATAGACGATGATAAAGTTTTCAACTTGTTGGATTTCGGGTTCTCACCTTGGTTACAAATCTCAATCCCTCCGTCTTTCTCCATGATTTGGAAACCTAGCTTCAGAACTAATTCTCCTCCTCTAGCCTTCCCAGAAAGACTAAAGCTCGTATCCCATTGCCGAACCCGCGTGCCCTGCTGATTTTTCTCAACGGATTCGTCTATCAGCTGGCTCAAATCCACGGAGCTCCTTCCAAAATCAACCTCTTTAGCGTCCACTGCAAAAAGATAAATCCAAAACGGACGTGGCTCAAATTTAAGCCTCTGCTTTCCACTCCCATGCGTGCAATAAACGTGGCATCTGATGAACAGGGTCTCCTCGAAGTCAGCAGCTCCTTGCGCAACCCGAGAAGGCATTGTCTGGACAGCTCCATCCTTCGTCTCCTTCTTCCTAACACAAACAGAAAGCCTGAGTCCGTTCATTGAAGAGGGAAGGCCCTGTGCGGCGACGACTTCGACAGAGAACAGACAACTCAGTTTCTGCATTCCAATGTGAGAAAGAGCTCTCATAGGCTTCCAGCTCCAAATTCCTTTCTTCTCGGCCGAAGCTGACCTCTCATCCAACCGTTTGATTTCAGGCCGAGTGGCTGGCGAAGGTGCTGACTGGGCATCCTCAAGCTTCGACCTCGACCGCCACGGGGACAAGGAGAGGCGACGACTACGAGGTTTGGTGATTGGTTTGTCTGCGGTGAGGGGAGCGTCGGCGTCATCATCAGCTGAAGGGATGGAAGGGAGTGAAGATCGCGGGAGAGCGAGGGAAGCAGTTCTTCGGGTGGGGGCAGGGCTGGAAGTGTGTGTTTGGTAAAGGGATTGGCTGAGAGCCTCCAATTCTTGAAGCAGCTGGGCATTAGAATTTCTGGCGGCGGGGTACTGAGATGCCATGATATGAATAGAAAGAAGGTCGCAGAGAGAGATGAAGGAGAGAAGGAGGATAAGGGGAGGAGATCATTTCTCGGGGAAGGGTCAGGCTAATGAAGTTGAAGGAGGAGGAGCATAAATGAGACAAGGGAGGCGATGGGTGGGAGTTTCTGAACCAGTAAAATTGAACGGATGGAATGTGTGGATATAAAAGATGAACGGTGGCATTCCGTGGTGGCGTGGGGAGCAAGACGAACATGAAAATGAATACGCACGTCGCAGGCTGGCCCCATCCTATTTAATGATGGTTATCACTGTTGACCAAGTTTCCCTCCCGCCGTTTCACCTGCTCTTCTTCTTCCTTTTACCCCAAGCACGCCCTCTGTGTTACTGTGCTATCCGATACCATACCAGTGACGGTTAAAGGAGACAGTAACAGATAACCATTAAACAGAGTTAAGAATTTGCGGATGGTTCGTGAACATAGCCCAGGAGGAGTGGAGAGTCATCAAATCTTGTGACTAGGCTCGCGAGTCGTCTGTGTGAACTTCTTCCTGCGCTCTCCACGTGTCCTTGTCTAGAGGGGTAGTGTGTCTAACTAAGCGATGGGCTCGGCCCGCGTCCTCCCAGGACTGAAATTTTGTCATGGTTCTGTTTCATTTTAAAAGCCGTCGTAAATTTAATTATTGAGTTACGATGAATTTTTGGCCAAAAAAAAAAAACGTTGCGATGAATCGATGATTATAATTATAATAAAAAATAAAATAATACAGTCACAACAATCATAATTTAAAGTTAAATACATAACAATTATAAATTGCTTCTAAGCTACAAATATTGTAATAACTTAATTATTGAATTACATAATTTAAATGGGAAGATGGTTATGTAAAAAATAAAAATAAAAAAATAAACAAAAATATATGTGCTTTAACTTTAACTGAATATGTAATATATTAAATATTAATAAAAAATAAAAATATAATAATATATTCGGAAGGAAATCGGGTCAATCAGTGAGGGACAAACATCAGCACCTCTAATCTAACTTTTCTGGCCTTTTGTTTAGCTGTGATCATTTCGCTGTGTTTAATAAATTTGACTTATGTTTAAAAAACTATGCATGTGATGAAATAGCCTCCCGAAATAGCCTGATGTCAGTGCAATCTCATAGCACTTAAATTGAATTTAAATTTGGGGAATGGCATTTAAATGTTGAATTAATAATGGTTGTGTTTTCAAATTTTTATTTTAAAATATAAATTGTAAATATCCATTCAAATAACTGCAGACAAAATTTATTTTTTATAAATTTTTGTGTGGAAATCCAGCTGTTATTACTTCACTCTTCTAGAATTTAATAATATAATTTTTGGTATTTTAAGCACATTTACATAAATAACCTTTAACTTTTTTTGTTTTTAAAAAACTTTCTCCCAAGGTTTTCCAAGGATCTGCTTTGGACTTGGACTGGCAATGTGCAAGTGTTTTCGTATGTGGGGTTAGTATCATATCAACGCTCTTTTTGTTTTTCGTTCCCTTCCCCTTCTCATTTAAATAGAGATAAATTAAAAGTTTATTTTATTTTTAAACAAAATGTGTGCTGTTTATAACAAGGCCAGATCATATGACCAATGCTCGAGTGTACGATGCTTATGAATTATGAGGCATGTTGTTGGCCCAAAAATAAAAATAGTAACAGGCATGTTGATTGTTAGGGGAATAAGTAGTATATATATATATATATATATATATTTAATATAACTAAAGACCATTCTCAAAAAGAATACAAAGAAAGTTAAACAAGCTAAAAAGGAAGCCAATTCATTCACCATCAACCTCCTCCGGATAACCAAAGTGAGAGATGATCAAAGTCACACAAAAAAACGCTCGCAAAAGTCGGTTTTTCTGGCAGCATGATGCGCGATACTAATAATCTCTAAAAGCAAAATTAATAGACACTATCCATCTCCTGCTAAAGAGGAAGTGAAATATTGAATCCCATAAAACAGCACTTGTTTTCCAACGAAGTATCAATTTAAGCTCTATAATTCTTAATTTAACAAGTTTGTTCTACAATTTATAGCCGTTGCTCCCCCCCTCCTTTCAGCTGCTCCCGGCTCATTCTTTCTTGTCCCTGTGAAGTCTCTTATGGTCTTTCAACGCTTTTCTCGCATCCGTTGTTGCTCCTTTTCTGCAAAACCCTAATTTGCTTGGAATGAGTCACCTTTGAATTCCCCGTTTTCAAGGTGACTTAACTATACTGCTGTTCACACGATAAATAAACACCAAAATGTCAGACCTCGATCCGTCCAAGAAAGTGGCCGATAGATATCTCAAACGTGAAGTCCTTGGTGAAGGTACCTATGGAGTAGTATACAAAGCCATTGATACCCAGGTAAAGCGAACCGTATTCTATTCATCCTGTTCATTTTTCTTTTCTTTCTTTTTAATGAACAAAATTATGTGGAATTTGTTTAATCGTAGATTTTTTTTCTTCCTTTGGTTGATTAAATTGCGTGAGTGAAGAGGATTTGGGAGAGAAAGACGGGCTTCATTTGGCGTGAAGCAATTCGATGCATCGGGGGAAAGAAAACATCTTGACAGAGAGTCCGACAATATTGCGAAAATAGACTTATACATGCTTTCGGTTGCCTGTCTTCCAAAATTTGGTCTAGACAATTTGTTTAGCTTAGGTTTTAACCATTGGCTTGAGATTACTGCAAAATTGTACGTTGGTCACCGGGTATGAGGAAGCAATTCTTGTTCTTCGTATAAATTTCCAGATCAAATCTTTTGTTTTATGACAATTTATCTTGTCTAGATATGAATGCGTTTACGTTTTGATGAACTGGCTTACTGGGCTTTTAATTCAATAGTGGTCGCAGTACCTATATCTTGTGTCGTTCTCAAAACCTGTATCTATTACTTGAACAGACAGGACAGACAGTTGCAATTAAGAAAATCCGGCTTGGCAAGCAGAAGGAAGGGGTAAATTTTACAGCCCTTCGAGAGATTAAAATACTTAAAGAGCTCAAAGATCCAAATATTATTGAGTTAATTGATTCTTTCCCACATAAAGGCAATTTGCATCTTGTCTTTGAATTCATGGAGACTGATCTTGAAGCTGTTATAAGAGACCGGAATATCTTTCTTTCACCAGCTGATATAAAATCTTACCTTCAAATGACTCTCCAAGGTCTTGCTTATTGCCACAAGAAATGGGTTTTGCATAGGTAGAGGAGCTGTTTTGGTCTTCACAATGTTATTTGTTACTTGCTTTCAAAGTTCTGACCTGAAAAGATTGCACCTTTCTTTCAGGGATATGAAACCAAACAACTTGCTGATAGGATCTAATGGACAGCTGAAACTTGCAGATTTTGGTTTAGCTCGAATCTTTGGGAGCCCAGACCGAAGATTTACTCATCAGGTTTGTTTCTTTTCATATAATGGCATGTTAACCACTTTGAGCATGCAAGTTTCATGGTATTAGTACATTTAGTTAGAGGCCATTGGCAGTGAATGTATTTTCTTCAAAATAAAACTTATAGAATCCTCTATAATACTCTAACTTTATATCTTGAACTTCATAGTTCCCACAGACTTTGGATGGTTGGAGTTTGCAAAATTGGAAGGGGATGTGCCTTAGACCGGGTTATACTTCACTTTGTTGTTGAAGTTTAAAGAAAGTATTGACTGCAATGCATTGGATTTCACTTTTAAATCTTTATAATTATAGCTTGACTTTCTCTCAAAAGCCAAGTCTCAATCATTTTAATGGTTTTCTCCCCCTATTGTGTATTGCCTTAAAAAATGGGAATACCAAGGGAGTAAAGTTTTTGGAGATTTAACGTTGGAACAGTGGTGTGATAGTATACCGAGTTCTGGTTCATGCGTTTTATATTGTGGTTCTCTAGGATAATCATATATTATTGTGGCTCTGAGAAGTGTAGTGCAATATGTGCATTTGTCTTTTGCACTTTTTGTTGATGAACTTCAAATCTTGAATCTTGTGCTAATTATGTGGATAGGTGTTTGCTCGTTGGTACAGAGCACCTGAGCTGTTATTCGGTACCAAGCAATATGGCTCAGGGGTAGATGTTTGGGCAGCAGCTTGTATATTTGCTGAACTTCTTCTTCGTCGACCCTTTTTGCAGGTAAGCAAGATCTTTGTTATATCACAAGAAAGGGGAAAAAAGATTGTCATGGTGGGTTATTACATTTTATGGTTAATAATTGGTACTCTGAAGTAGATGGATTTTAATCTCAGCAGTTAGCCTGGGCGTTTCAACATTTTAACTTTATCAACTTGTTCAAATTATAGCTAAAAAAAACCATTCGAAGCTGTTTACTGAGCTGAGGTCAGCTTAGAAGCCGTTAACTATGGTGTTTATGGGCATTATTGAGTATTATTTTCACTTTCATTTTATTCTTACTCTCATGTGTGCTATATGGTTATTTGTGCGCGTTTTTTAAAAATTAATTGTCAAAGTTTGTAGATGTAATCAATTGATTGCATAGTTTTTTCTCTTTTTTCTCTTTTTTTGTTGTAATAACTTGTTTCTTGAATTAAGCACAGTTCTTATATTTTTTTTTATATTTGTTGTTAACATTTGCTAGGGTTCAAGTGACATCGATCAATTAGGTAAGATTTTTGCAGCATTTGGGACGCCAGCTCCTTCTCAGTGGCTGGATATGGTATACCTACCTGACTATGTTGAGTACCAATATGTTCCTTCCCCGCCTTTTCGTTCTTTATTTCCAATGGCAAGTGATGATGCTTTAGATCTATTGTCGAAGATGTTTACCTATGATCCAAGAACTAGAATTTCAGCTGTGCAGGCATTAGACCACAGGTATGTGCCTTTTATCACTCAATAAGAAATCAATGACTTCCTTTTGTTCCTAATTTTGTGTCTTCTTTTTTCCATTAGGTACTTTTCCTCAGCACCTCTGCCCACAGAACCAAGCAAACTTCCTAGACCTGCCCCTAAAAAGGAATCTAAGGTTTCTGATTTCAATCCACATGAGGGTCCTACTGTACTATCACCTCCAAGAAAGTCCAGGAGAGTGATGCCAGGACGTGATGGGTTTGAAGAAAATTCATTGCGAGGTGACAATGTTGGTGACTTCAGGCAGACTGCTGGTGATAATACTGGCAAGAGTGAACCAGCACCAATGTCAATAGATTTTTCTATCTTTGGATTGAAATCTCCAAACAGACCTACAATTAACAGGTAAAACAATTTAGATCTTTTAGTAATTTTAAATGGAGAGCTTAAGACCTATGCTCATTGTTTTATTTTTGTGGCTGGGAGTTTGAGTTTCTAATCAAAGCTTCCTTCCCACTTTCTTCGTTGCCAGTGAGCAAATATTATTTATTTCCAATGCATGTTCGTTGCAAATTTAGTTAATGTGATGTCCTGAACCAAATGGGCTCTAACAGGCATCGTATAAAAATTTATCAGATTGGTCCATCTCGATTAATTTCATGTATAGAGAAGTTAATTGTCTAGCTGATTGTTTAACTAAGAATTGTCATACTTTTCTTAACGACTTATACATCTTTGATCAAAAACCTCCTTTCTTAGTTGGGTGGTAGTTGATCAAAGATTTGTTGGTGTTGCTTTTTTGCCTTGTACTGCTACTGTTGTTGGTGGATTTCCGTTTCGTTAAAAAAAAAAAAAAAAGATTTACCAGATTCAAATCACACAGCACTTTAAGTAACATTAATTGTATGCAGCAATTTTCATTGAACTTTTGTAACAATGTTAATCTACGGTCTTTGATCTCTGACTAGGATCCAAATTTGGTGTTGTTTGAGATGCCTATTATATACGCGGGTGAGGCTCACGATCAAATGCAATACGGGGATGGGAATATTGAACTTGATTCCATCTTTTGTTATAATTAATAAAATTGCATTATGCCGGATGATTGTTTCTTTGAATTTTACTTTGTACTCGACGTTAACTAACTTTTGTTCCATTGTATGGATCTGCAGTGCTGATAGATCACATTTAAAGAGAAAATTAGATCTAGAATTCCAGCAGCCAGAATGAATATTCTTTGACTGGAGCTGTCTATGCAAGGGACACAATTGATGAAATGTAGTGAATACTTGAACGCTTAAAAGGTGTCCCTTGGTCTTCCCAGACGAGGCTACCTTGGATTTGTAAATGCTCAAAGGAAGAAGTAGCAGTGGCCGAATATTAACTTCGTACTTGATCGCAGTCCTGACACCTAAAGTTGATCTTACAGAAAAAATGAGAAGTTACACAGCAGTACACTTCATCTCTCTCTCTCTCTATCTCTCTAACCTGAACACTGCCCCACTGTTCTTCATTTTTTTTTTTTTGGTTTAACGTTTCAGAGAACTTGTATTTTATAATGGCGAGGGCATTTTCTCGAGTCCTTGCTCTGCTTGGGGAACTGAATTTGAACTCGAATTTGTTGTTGAACACTGTACCCTCTCCCTTGTTTCAGATAGGTTATTGTCAACTTCCACCATGGCTCATTTATTTGAATACATAATGCTTAAATTTTAGCTGCTTTCCCGCAAATTATGGTGTGCCATGTCCACTTTTTTTTTTTTTTTTTTTGGCCAAAGCCATGTCCACTTCATTGTTCCAATTTCTTGATTTTTTTTTTTTTGGGGCGTGAAATTTCTAGAGTTACGGTAAGATTAATATATTGAATACTAAAATTGTGTTGACCTTGAATAGTCAATTTCTCTCTCCTGTTAATTTTTTTTAATGTCTCACTTCCTTTTAAAACAAAATTAAAATGTGTAATAGTAGTGGCTGAGGTTCGAGCTAGCGTACAAAAATTCTAATTAATTTTCTCATTTTTGTAAGGATTGGAAATCTTTCTTTTATTCTCTGCATTACATTGAACTAGAAGGACTTTTCTAGCCATTACAGACTGAACTAGTCTCTTCAGTTACACCATGTTGAAGCTAAAGCGAGCAGCATCATCGATACAAATGTTGTCCACTGTGACATGTTTACGCCAAAAGAATGGTGTAAGGTTTTGCCTTCATAAGGTGTCAACTAACGTAAAGACTTGACAACTTCATGAGACTATGCCCTCTGTGGTCGTTGAATCACCCACTCTATCTTTAGCTTTCATTGCCTGAAAGGTAAGGGAGGATTTAAAAAGGAAAAGGGGAGGGGGAGGGGGGCTAAGCACATGACCGATAAAAGAAGAGGATGAAACAAGAAGATCAAAATTCACCTCATTGTCCCAATCAGTACGAACAGTGATTATGAACAAGGATAACAATTGAACGAAGAGTGCACATATGATCCCCAACCAAAGTCCCTATATTGTAGTTGTAGCAGATAACAAGATACAGGTTATTGCATTCTTTTTGACAAAATGAGAAAAGTTAGCAGAATCTATGCGCTACGAGAGAAGGGACTTCACCTTGCCACCAATGTGCAAGACAAAAGCAAGTATGACAGCCGATGGAATCCCAACCAGATATTATGACCCAAGATTGACAAAAGCTCCAAGTTTCTGCAAACCACATCCTCTTTGCCGTGCCTATATTAGAGTCGCCAAATGCAATATACCACTTGATCAAATTTTATAACAAGTAACTCTCGCTAAATGCATAAAACAATTGAGGATGAGGAACCTGAAAGAACGCATTGAAGTCCATCCAGGAAGTTGGATAAAGCAAGAATTGGCAACATGGTTGCTACATATTTGACTACTTCTACTTCCTTGCTGTAAGCGTGTCCCCAAATATTGCGTATTAGTATTAGCACCGTTCCGATTAAGATGCCCTCAATAATGGCCATTACTGGCACAACACACACTGCTAATCGGGCAGTACGTGGATGACCAGCTCCTAGTTCATTTGAGATCCGAGTGCTACAAAATACAACTTACAATATTTAACAGATGTGCATACTACTTCCCTATCATTCTGAAACTTCATAAGCACTACTCACCTTACAGCTCCACTGAGTCCAAAAGGAATCATCCATACAATTGATGCCGTGTTAAGGCTGATAGGACCAAGATAAGGTTGATCCAAACATTAATAATGTCAAGTAAAGTAAGCATGATAATTGTGAAATGTACTCAAATTCCATAAGAAACTAACCAGATATAGAGCACTGATATTTCCAACTTTGGATTTGGAAGTAGGCCAGACAAGAGAACCATCATTTCGAATGACCATGTTTCCTAGCTGCTCATCAGCCATGATAATGTCCAATAGAACATTAAAATTTCATACTACAAGGGAAGTGTGGTTTTGATGGAAGCAACAAAAGGTAAGTCTTTATCAACTATGATTGATAGTACTAAATCGTGAGAAAATGAAATTACCAAACCATAACAGCTGAAGGAATGGCTAGTCTCAGAAAAGTGAGTGCTATGCAGAGCCTCTTTTGAAAAACCCAACCAAGTTTTAGCAAATGATGGAGAAAACTTCACATACAGTGACAACATCAAAACATTAACCCAATAAGATATAGCATTCGCCAAGGCAGCTCCTTTATATCCTAGTCCAGATTTGAGTACCATAATGTGACATACAGGAATATGCAGTAAATTAGTAACTCCAGAACTGAAGAACAATGGAAATACAATATTTTGGCTTCGTAAAAATCCGTTAAAGCATTGCAGAAGACCGTTACCAAAAAGGCATGGAATCATGAACTAAGCATACTGTCCTGCTTCTATAGATATATTAGGATCTTGGCTAAAGGCAACTAGAATAGATCTCGTGTTTGCCCAAACCATGGCCCGGGGAATGCTAACAATCATAAGAACTAGCATGGCTGTCTGCATGTGTATCCCCAACATGTGGTGCTGCTCTGCACCATATGATTGGCCACATAAGGTATCCAGTGCACTAGCCATTCCAACCTATTTGAACCACAGAAGGGAGAAAAATATGAGATTAAGATATAAGTATTTGGCATTGGAATTAGAAATGATGCTAGTGAAAGACTTCCACGTTGAAATCAAAATATTACTTTTTAGTTTGTGTTACAGATTAGATATTAGCTTAATTAGATTTATAATCATCAATGCTATTTTGAATACCAATCTGCGACTTGTATATTTTAATCCCCTGCTGGGTTCAAAGCCTTCATGATAAAGCGTTCAGATAGATAGTGTAACATCTCAATTTAAATTTTAATAGTTAATTTGGGTTAATAGAAATTTTGAAAAATATTTAGAGGTAAATAAATTAGTAAAAAATGATTATTAAATCTAACTTAGGATATAATTCTAAAAAAAATAATATAAAATAAATAAAAAGAAATAAAAAAATAATAAAAAAATATTATTAAATTATTATTATTATTATAAAAAAACAAAAGAAAAGGTGTAAAAACAAGAAAGGAGAAAAACAAGGAAACTTTCCGCAGCCGCGCATCAATAGTAAAATAAAATAATAAAAAAAGAAGAAGAAGAAGAAGAGAGAGGAAATAATTTAAAAAAAAAAGATGTGGGACCCACTAAATTTTTATAAAAACTCACCTGTTCCTTCATTTCTTCATTCCTTCTTTCGTGCGTGAGCTGAGGTAGAGAGAGAGCATCTGTGAGCCAAGTTCACCGGTGCTGGGTTTTAAGGTAAGAGTTTTTAATAGGATATTTAGGGTGTGATTTTAAGCTTTTCAAGACTAAGTAAGTGTTCTAAAATTTTTTCTTAGTCATCCTTCTTCTTTGGTTTCTGAGTTTGTAGTGGTAAAAAATTTAAGATCTGGAAGAGGGATGAATTTATGTTGAATAAATATGATTTTTGAGGTTGTCAGTAGTATAATAAATGTTTTAGAGTATAAATTTATTGATGATCTTTGAATCTGTGACTTATGGATCAAATTCTAAACTAGATCTGAAAATATATGTTGATTTATTGAGGTTTAGATGATTATTTGCGACGAGAAATGAATTATTATGGTTATAGGATTATGATTCTAAGCTAGAGACTCAATTTTTAATTTTTGGGTATTTTAGGTACGAATTTATGAAATAAAAAGAAAATTTTGATAATAGAAATTAGTTTAGAAGTTGATTTTTAGATTATTAATGTTTATTGATAATTAAAAGAGGAGTTAAAAAATTTTACTTAATAGTATTAACTATAGATTTGTATTAAGATTGAGATTAGGAATTATGTTATATTTTTAATTCTATTATTAGAATTATTTTATTAGTTTCAAAAATTGAAACTAATATTTATAAATAATATGTTATTTGTAGATTATATTACTGGTGAAGATTGTGGTGAGAGAGAAATTTTAAGGAATAATTTATTGAAAAAGCCACGAGGTAACCATGCTTTTAATTTGTGATTAGTGTTACTTCTTGTTAATTGGGTGATTATTGAGAAAATTATGAATTTTGTAATATTGTATAATTGTGCAATATTATTATGAATTTGTTTAATTATTGTGGGCGGTGTTGGGAGACTTGCTATTATTGTTGTATTTATGTGCCACGTGGTACGCCCCTATTGGAGCTCAATAGGTGGCTTGTAAGGGTTCGGGCTAATCTACCTTTGGCCGAGTAATTTAGCACCGAGTGAGGGCTACGGCTCGAGGTTAATGGAGGGATATAAGGATGGTTATTTGTGTGTATTGTAATATTTCTTATATTTGTTGGAATTATATTATTTTTAATTCTCACTTAGTAAGCACACACTTAACTATTTGTATACACTATCATAAATTGGCTTTGGTTACTGGGACTTTTGAGTCTCATTATATGGTTAACAATTTTCAGGAGAAGAACCACGAGTGACACGTGGAGGAGTCCCAGAGGCTTAATGGTATAGATCCACTGTCTCTTTTGGGTATTTAATTTATGATTTATAATGTGTTATATTGCCAATAATAGGGCTTTTTGTTTATTGTCAATTATATGAATATATAAATGTAATTATGCCTTTCAAACTATTTCTATTTTTGGTACAATTTGGATGACTGTAATTTTAATATTTGGTTTACTTTGGATTGGTTAAAATGGCATGATTATAAGGCCAAATAACTGGCTTGTGTTGAAAATTTATTAAATTGCTTATTTTACTTGTTGGGAGTATAAGGATGGACAAATGTGATTTAGCCTAATGGCATGTGGGAGGTAAAAATTTATCCGAAATATTATAGTGTGTGAGTTGAAGCCAATTATAAAATATTTTATATTGAAATTATTGATATAAAAATGTGTTGGGTGGCTGTAACCCAACTATGGTTGAGTTAAATTATTTAAAAAAAAATTTTGGTGTGTTACAAATTTTTGGTATCAGAGCTACATATTTTAAATTCTTATAAATTATGAAATTGTTATACATTAACCTAGTTTATTGGCAATATACATTATTAAATCATAATACTTCTCCATTATTTTTTTGTCTTGAGATTAGTGTTAACTTAATTATGTGACTTCCATCCTTTAGGAGGGGAGAGATGGTGTCCAAAACTAGGAGAGGTGGCGAAATTGCTGGTGATTCTATAGAGCCAATAGGAAATGACATACCTTCACTGCCACAACCAGAGCCCACACAGCAACAAATTGGGCAAGGCGAGCCTATACAGTCACAACTAAGGCAGGATGAGCCAACCATGAGGCAAATGATGGATCTACTATATAATCTTAGTGACCGCATGAAGAGACAAGAAGAAGAGTTGGCCGCTTTAAGACAATATAAGGAGAATTCCAACCGAGAGGGAAATGGCCAACAAGAAGGAAGCCATACCAAGGTATTTAATGCGAGCCAATTTACTGATGAAGGTTCACCTTCCTATTCTCACCATGAGACTAGTCCGAAGAATGTGAGTCTCCACTCTGAGCAACAGACATCCACGATCACAAAGATCTGGAGTACTTTTCGTAAGTTTAATCCTCCTACTTTCGATAGAAATCTTAAGCCAGCGGTGGTTGAAGAATGGATAGATCAATTGGAGAGTATTTTTCGTATGGTTGTGTGCACTTCTAATCAAAAGGTGCAGCTGGTAATATTCATACTACAGAAGAGTGCTAAGAAATGGTGGGAAACATCAGGACTGAAGGATGATTCCTCTCTTACTTGGGAAGATTTTAAAGCCATATTGTTTGAGAATTATTTTCCTACTGCACTGAGAGCAGAAAAGGAGGCTGAGTTTCATGCATTTCGTCAGGGTGATTTAGATGAGGATGAATTTATTGAACAATTCTCAGAATTATCTAAATACTCTACTTACCTCCAGAAACATGAAGACACGGAGTGGATGGCTGAACAATTGCTAGAGAAGGCGAGGCCTGATCTAAGGGAACAGTTAGCCCCTTTTGAGATCAAGACATTCAGTGAGATGTGCAATAAGCTTCGAATAGTTTCTTAGAGGAAGAGAGAGGCTAAATTAGAAGCTGATAGAGAGAGGAGGAAAGAACCTCATGGGAAGCCCCCTATCCACACTAGACCCATTGGTGGAGTAGAGAAGAGGAGCAGTCAAATCTTTGGAGGCTTTAGAAATCAGAAGAAGAAGGGCTACTACCATAAGGGCCAAAGCTACAGAGGTAATCAGAGTGGGAGTCAGGGGTCCTACAGGAGCCCAGCAACCTCTACTCCTACTTCCGGTGCTGCTAGTAATCAAGCATGCAATAAGTGTGGGAAGTTTCATTCTGGTGATTGTTGGGTTTGTTATATCTACCAGAAGCCTGGTCATATTGCCCGATTCTACTATCAAAATTAGAATAGGGGTAATGATCAGAGACCTACAGTACCAGCACGAGTGTATGCCATCTCTGGGCCGGAGGCTACTAATAACCCTAATGCTATCCGAAGTATAATCTGAATCCTTGATAATGATGTTTGTGCTTTGTTTGATTCGGGTGCTACACACTCTTTTGTGTCTGATGAATGTATGAAAAGATGTAAATTGCCTATGTGTACCTTACCTTTTGATGTGAAGATTTCTACTCCTGCTGGTTTGACTGTAAGGACTGCTAAGGCATGTCTAAATGTAGAGGTTGAGTATGAAGGTCGAAAGACCACCATAGACCTCATTTGTCTGTCTTTGTCTGGGATTGATGTTATTGTAGGGATGGATTGGTTGTCTGCAAATGGAGCTGTACTTGATTGTCAGAAAAAGAGTGTGTCACTCTCAGCTCTTACTGTAACCCCTGTAGAGTCCCAAAGTCCTATGTTGTTGTCTGCAGCTCAAGTAGAACAGTGTATAAGAAAGGGCTGTCAAGCTTTTATGATTTTCTTCTCAATCAAGGCAGAGATTGAAGAAGGTGTAGATCAGATTCCAGTAGTGAGAGAATTCCCTGACGTCTTTCCTACTAAAGTGATCAGTTTGCCTCTAGAACGAGAGGTTGAGTTCTCGATTGAACTCGTACCTGGTACGGGGCCTATTTCTAAGGCACCCTATAAGATGTCTCCATTGGAGTTAGCTGAGTTGAAGAGACAAATTGAAGAGTTATTAGAGAAGGGGTTTATCAGACCGAGTGTATCACCATAGGGGTCACCGGTACTGTTTGTGAAAAAGAAAGATGGAAGCCTTAGATTGTGTATTGATTATAGACAATTGAATAAGGTAACCATCAAGAACAAGTACACCTTACCTCGAATTGATGATTTGTTAGATCAATTAGTCAATTCAGCGGTGTTTTCTAAGATTGATCTAAGATCAGGGTATCATCAATTGAGGGTTAGAGCAGAGGATATCCCTAAAACTGCTTTTAGGACTAGATATGGGCACTATGAGTGCCTAGTGATGCCGTTTGGGTTAACAAATGCCCCAGCTGTCTTCATGGATTATATGAATCGAATCTTCAGGCCTTATCTCGATGAATTTGTTGTAGTCTTTATTGATGACATACTTATT